GGGTCTCGGGTCCAGAGAAAGTTGGAAAAACATCTCATACACTGTTGTTAGGTTTTACAATGGATGCTTTCTATAAGGCAAGTTCCATGACTGTTAGCTACTGACCTCTGGGCAGTGAACCATTATAGAGGAGGAAGGTATGGGGGAGGTAGGGCCCCTGGAAATTGGAGCTGTTAGTGTCCTTGAAACTTGGGGATGTCATTAAGGAGATCTGTGGAGTCTTAGGCCCATTGTTTAAGAAAAAATCTGTTTATCAGCCTTGTGGGCTGCTTCCTCCCTCCCAGGGATCAGGACTCCATGGTAATCAGTTACGTTCTATTGGAGTGAAAGCAAACTTAGAAACAATAGATTTGTTAAATTCTAACCATAGCTGCAGCTTTGCAGGCCTGGGTCTCTTCTACAGCTTTTACCCCATGGCGCATTATTAATTTTGCATGAGCAGTATCAAGGACTTGGCCCTGTGGGAGGGATCTGGGACATTCTCAGTGGGATTTTGCTAGGCTGGCAATTCCTAACCTAGACATGTGTCATAGTTGCCAGTGAAGTCCACAAGCAATACAAAAGTGCCAGAGCACCTGATTCAGCTTTTGTTGGGTGAGGCCTGGGCTCTGTGGCTTCTGTATGTACCACAAACCCCATAGGTGCCTCTAATACTTGACCAGGTTTGGACCCTTCGCTTTCTGGGTCTGTGACTGGGCCTCACCATTGGGCACACTGAGCTTTGATCTCAGTAAGCAAAACTGTCAGAATTGAGCTGAGAAATTTGCATCATCTCATTCTGCTTAGAGTTGATGAAAGCTGCTGAACTCTAAAATATTTAAGAAGGTTTATTCTGAGCCAAATGTGAGTGACTTAGGCCCATAGCACCATCCCAAGAGATCCCGGGAGCATGTGCTTGTAGTGATTGAATTGCAGCTTGGTTATATACATTGTAGGAGGAAGTCACAAAAATCATAAATCAATATGTGTGAGATTTACATTGGTTTTCCCTGGAAGGCAGGACATCTCCAAGTGGAAGCTTATGAGTCATAGGTATATTGAGAGATGATTCTTGATTGGCAGTTAGTTGCAAGAGTTAAGGAATTTTGAAATAAGTAAAGGAAATGCTACTGTTGAGATAAAGGGCTTTGAGAGAAAGTTTGCTATGTAGACAAAGCCTCATAGGTGGCAGTCCTGAGAATAGATGGCAGCATCTAGCTCATCTGTGGCTTCCCAACGGGCTTCTATACAGATGCAAATTTCTCCAAGAGATGGCTTTGCAGGGCCATGAGATATTTTTGGTTTCTTTCCTTATGACGTTATGTCAGAGCCAGGTTGGAAAGTAACCCACATTGTATAGGGTTAATAAAAACCTGTCTTGAGCCGGGCTCGGTGGCTCAGCCTGTAATCCCGCACCTTTGGGAGGCTAAGGTGAGCGAATTGCCTGAGCCCGCGGGTTCGAGACCTGCCTGGGCAGCGAGACCTCATCTCTACAATAAATCAAAAAAATCAGCCTGGCGCGGTAGCACACACCTGTAGTTCCGGCTACTTGGAAGGCTGAGGTGGAAGGATCGCCGGAGCCTAGCAGGTTGAGGCTGCGGTGGCCGGGAGCGGCCACTGCACTCCAGTCTGGGCGACAGAGTGAGACTCCAACTCAAAAAAAACAAAAAACAAAAAAATCCTGTCTGATGGGACTTTTTGGTTTATACGGGGTGACTCTCCAGGCCCCCTAGTTAGGAATTTGGCAAGAGAGGTCAGGATTTAGTCCTCATCTCTGAGACAACTTGTGAGGTGTTGAGGCAGAGACCAGCTCTGGAAACAGAAACCTCAGGTAGTCTAGAGGTTCAGGTACTGTGCATGCTGGTTTGCTGTTGTCACTGTCACCCAATGTGGAAGACAAGGTATAGGTGTGGTGTAAAGCACTAGAGTGCCTTCCATCTGTACCCTAAACTGTCCTTCTCACTGGAGGTGTCATTCTGGTTTTTACTCTTACCCTCCTGCCTTCCCAAAACCTCTTCCTTAAATAATCCACCCAAGCGTGGACCCAAACCTGTTTTCTTGCTTTCCTTTAGCATACCTGTTACTGAACTTTCTTAAATATAAAGGGAAAACAGAAAGTATGACATAGAGAAGATGCCTGCCACATTCAGAGAGCTACATCTCTGTGGGTCAGGCCTCTGTCCCCACAGTAGCTACTCAGAGCCACTCACTAAAGACTCTGTCCCGGGGCACTGTGGCCATACCCGAAGATGTCTTCCTAAATGCTAGACACCTTCCATCCCCTTCCCGATGAGGGTCCTGTTATCCCAGGTCTCCTGGGCAGAATGAATGGTCAGTAGGGCTGTAGAATCTGTCCTTGGCTTTCACGAAGAAGGTATAAGAAAGATCTAGACGGGCTTGTTGGCTCAGCCTGTAATCCCGCGCCTTTGGGAGGCTGAGGTGAGTGGATTGCCTGAGCCCGCGGGTTCAAGACCCGCCAGGGCAACTTGGCAAGACCTCATCTCTACAATAAATCAAAATTACCCGGGCGTGGTAGTGCGTGCCTGTAGTTCCAGCTACTCGGAAGGCTGAGGCGGAAGGATCGCTGGAGCCCGGCAGGTCGAGGCTGCGGTGGCTAGGAGCGACCACTGCACTTCAGTCTGGGTGACAGAGAGAGACTCCAACTCAAAAAAAAAAAGAAAGATCTGTTTATTCACTCAGCAAACCCGCGGGCTCAAGATTTCCTTGATTCTAAGCTTTTGGGGGCAGAGGTTGGGTATTTATTATATTTATTCTTGCCCTAGGTGCACAAGTTCCCAGGCTAAGTTGTACTAAGTGCTCAGTGTCCGCTATCTTCATTATTCTCATGTAGGTGTTTGAGGAGGGGCAGTGTGGGTATGTGGAAAGGACCTTCCACAGTGTGGACTTTGAAGATTCCAGCTCTGTGCAGCTTGGCAAGTCACTACCTTAAGCCTCAGGCCTGCACAATTAAATGGGGTTGCGGCCAGACACGGTAGCTCAAGCCTGTGATCCAGCACTTTGGGAAGCACAAGTGAGGGGACTGCCTGAGCCCACGGGTTTGAGCACAGCCCGGGCAGCTTGACAAGACCTCATCTCTACAATAAATCAAAAAAATTAGCCAGACATGGTAGTACACGCCTGTAGTTTAGGCTACTTGGAAGGCTGAGGCAGAAGGATCACCTGAGTCCAGCAGGTCAACACTGGGGTGGCTGTGAGCATGCTACTGCCCTCCAGCCTGCGTGATGGAGTGAGACTCCAACTCAAATAAAATAAAATAAAATAAAATGGGTTGCTGTTGCCTCCCTCTTAAGGTGGTTGAATGTATGGAGGAACTCACTGAAAAGCAGGACCCAGAGATGGGTCAGCGCTGTCTCCTCCTGGGACTTTCAGGGAAACCGATGACCCATCATGCTGTATGTGGGTTGCTGAGGACAAGGTACTCCCCAACCACAGTTGGAATATCTGGCACATACCTGCTATGTGGTTAGCTGATGGCCAGAGCTTGTAGGAAGGTGAGTGTTCATGGCTCCAAGGTATCGGGGAGTGAGCAGTGAAGGGGTCTGAGAGCGTGACAGCTTGTCACAGTGCTGTATTACCTGCTGAGGGTGAGAATATTTATGCATTAATACACTCCGGTTTGTTCAGTACCATTTCCTTTTCTGTGCTCACCCGGCCTCCTGTGAGGAGAAACACCACATATAAAATGCGTGTGGCTCCCACTGGTTTGTTGCCCTGGAGGCCTCAGAGCCATCTGGCAGCCAGCCCAAGGGCAGGGGCTCTGGCCCTGAACAAGGTGCTTACACAAATTAAGCGCATTGGCTTCCTGAGACTGGCTGGTCTTGCAGAGCCACAGTCCTGGCCCTACCCCCTACTATGTCTAAAAGATAAAATATCAGATGTGTATGGTCACAGAAGTTAAAAATGTCAGCACTTCTGTGAAGTACTCCCCCAACACACACACACACACACACACACACACACACACACACACACACACACACACACACACATCCACACCCATCCACACCCATCCATCATTGTGCTTGTTGGGAAATAGTCCCTAGGCCTCGTGGACTGTGGGGAATGGCCACAGAGCTCACTGCCTTCATGACCCTTCCTTCTCCTGGCCATGATTAGGGACCCATAGGCCCAGAGGGCATGCTGACCATGTGTGCTCTCAGATCTCTGGTGTGCTCAGCCTTTCAGAGGCAGGTGCCTGGGGCGGCATCAGCCATGTGGGCTGCAGTGGTCTCAGGTTGGGTACCCACACCACTGCATACTCACTGTGTCAAAGTGTTCAGTCTTCCTCTGACTTTTATGCCTCCCGAGCCCTGTGAGTAAACCCCTGGAAAGCATCCTTTTTATTTAGTGCTTTTTCCCCTGCCCTCCTATCCATCCTCCCCTCTTCCCCCAGTGTGGGAGAGCAGCTTCTGCAACACGGAGTGGGCGGGTTGCGCTGTAATCCTGAGCAGCCCTGGCCTTTCCTTTGACAAGTGCCTTCTGGTGGCTGACTGCTGGCAAAGCGAGTAGGTTGGTGCTCACAGGTTGGTGGGGAATAATGTGGACAGTCAGTTCCATCAGTTCTTGAGAAGAGACTGTTTCTTTTCTTTCTTTGTATTGGGGGTGGGTGGGTGCCGTTTCTTTTTTGATGGGAAGAGGAGACGACCTATTGTTCTGGTGGACTGTTGGCTAATTTGGAGACTGAAAGTAGTCACAGTGGCTGGATCAGGGCATTTCATTTCCCACCTGGGGATGCATAAGAAGGGCAGGTGTGCTGTCTTCCTCCTCATGCATGACCTCAATGGAGTTCTGTCCCAGCTGCAGGCACTCAGTAGAAGTGGCTGCTAGATCAGCCACTGTGGTCAGTGATGCGGCCTAGGGAGAGCAGTTTAACGGTCACCTAAAGTGGGCATTGCACATGGGACAGTCTTCAGACTTTGCTGTGTAGCAGCTACTTTGGGTTTATGTCTGATTGACTGTTCTTGAGTGAAACACTTTTTCTTCTGCTCTCCAAACACTAGGGAAGGATCGAATCATATTTGTGACCAAAGAAGACCACGAAACTCCAAGCAATGCAGAACTGGTGGCTGATGACCCCAATGATCCATACGAGGAGCATGGTGAGTGACGTGCTTTCAGGGATCCCCAGGCACATTATGAGGGGGAAGTACAGTGTTCTGAACTCCTTTCCCATTTTGTCCTCTTCAGGGCTGGGTCTTGAGGTATTCCTCTCAGCCAGAACCAGTTCTCAGGGTGGAGTTCGCCTGTCTTTCGCCTGTCTCAGGGCTGTGAGAGGCCATGCTGTCACCTTTCAGCCTCGTTCTGATGCACATCCCTGACCAACAGGCCAGGACGCAGGAGTTTCTCCTTACTGAAGTACTTCTGCCTTTTCTCCTCTGAATTTTTGCACAGATCTAAGCTGTCTGAAAGCTTCCCGATGGTTAAGCTTTAGGAAAGGGTGTAAGTAGATTCCAGCAGTCACAGGGTAAGTTAAGGTGACAGGGATCCCCTACGCAGACAAGTTCACAGACTGAGTTTTGCCACGTGCACCAACTTTATTAGCAAGCAGAATGCACAGTCATACACCTGCTCTGTGAGGTTGATGAAGTTCCTGCTCTCTTTTTATTGCTCCAGCAAGCATTCTGCATGAAAAGGTCACTCAACATAGACAGTTTCCCAGCAGCAGGATTCAGCTAACCTAGTCAGAGCACACTCCTCGGTTAACAGCTGAATGTAGCAATGGTCACTTGGGTCTAAAGCATTGCTCCAAAGGCTTTGGGCTTCCTGTTATCCCAGCCTTTGTGAGGTGGATGTGTATGTACTGTATTCATGAAGGGTCTACATATTATAAACAGTGCTCAGTTCACCAGTCAGAAATCACTTCTGACATCCATAATGACAACTAACAAACCTTCTGGTGCTAATTGGTGATAAATATGGTTGAAGAGCTTGAAGCAGCCACCTCTGGAGTATGGGCTCCTGACTGGAATTTTTCAGAGGCTCACTGAAGTGTATATTCCTAGGTATATATCTGTATATGTCTCCAGTTCCTATGACTGCTCCTTAGAGTCAAGCTAAGGTTACATAGCCCGCACCTGTGGGAGCAGGGAAGTGCAGACACTGCGCAGTGCTAGGATTCCGAAAATGGCAGCTACAGGGATAATCTTGATCTTGCCTTATGTGCCAGTGCCAGGACTCTGCTTTAGGTCCATGTTAGTTAAGCACATTTCATTAATTGATCAAAATGTTGTGGGGCCTGCAGGATAAATCAGGCTTTGTTTTGTTAGCCTCGTAGTGTTTTTTAATGCTTTGGACTGAGCTGTCCTCCCACCAAGTTCACACCATTCTTTGTTATCCCTGTTGTTTTTTCTGCCTGCTTCTGTCACTTAAGGTATTTCTCCTTGGACTTAATAGGTGTTCCTTATAATGTATTTGGCTTTATAGCCCCTTATAGTGCATACTTGTCCGTACAAAACACAGAGAAGGCCAGGCTCGGTGGTTCGGCCTGTAATCCCAGCACTTTGGGAGACCGAGGTGAGTAGATTGCCTTAGCCCGCGGGTTCAAGACCAGCCTAGGCAACTTGGCAGAATCTCGTCTCTACAATAAATCAAAAATTAGCCAGGCATGGTAGCGCATGCCTGTAGTTCCAGCTACTTGGAAGGCTGAGGCAGAAGGATCGCCAGAACCCAGCAGGTTGATGCTGGGGTGGCCATGAATGTGCCACTGCACTCCAGCCTGGGCAACAGAATAAGACTCCAACTAAAAACAAAACAAAACCCCCCCCCAACACAGAGAACTCTGAGACCCAGATTCTGAGCTCTCAATTGCAGAATTGCCAGGTAGACTAAGTAGGCTGCCCGTGTATGCCAGCTACTTGCTTTCCATCACCCATCTCTGCAGCTAAGATGGTGCTTGGAACAACTAAGAGTGCCAAGAGAAAAGATGGCAGAGTTGATTTTCCTAGAATCAAAATCAGAAGGCCTTAAAGAGAATCTGGTCTAACGGGAAAACTGAGGGCCTAGGAGGAGGCAGGGACTAGCTAAGAGATTAGAACTCCAGGCCTTTGACTGCATGTTTGAGAACATACTGCATCTGGACTTCTAATGGCATGCTGAAATGACTCTGCTCTGTGTGGCTTTACAGTGGCCTCTGAAATGCAAATTGGCATCATGTTCTCTATTAGGAGCTGTCACATTCCAGCTCCCTGTCCCCAAGAAATAATGAAACAAGGACACCTGCACACCTGGGTTAGAATTTTTAAATGTCAGTATTTTGGAAACTGGTTGTGCAGGTTTGTTGGCAAATTTACCTCTCCAGGGGGCAACATTTGCTGCTGTTTTCCAGCACTGAGATCCCTGTGAAGCAGGGAGAGGTGGTGAGATGGGAAAAGGGCATGAGCTCTGGGAATTCTGTGGGCCCTGGCTGCAGTCCTGACATGGGCCGCATGAACCCCAGAAACCGCATGTGTAAACAGAGCTAGTACCTACCAGAAGGTTATCAAAAGGATGATGTGAGTTATCAGGTATAGCTTCAGGAGAACTTGCTCTGCAGCTGCTGATGGTGCTGGTGGTCGACTGCTTGCAAGTGGGTGGTGCCGTTTGGCATCTCAACTGCTACTTAGTTTTGCGAAAAACAGCAACAGCTGAAACTGAGAGGTGGGATTGCACCTAGCACTGTGGGCACTAGTACCGAGTACCAGGCCTGGGTACTTCCCTAGAGTGAGGAATCATGTGTAATTTTACCAGGAATTTTAGAGACTCTCTTAAAAAGTGCTCTCAGTCTCTTTAGAAGTTAAGAAACTTTGGTGTGAATTATATATCTGTGTCACAAAACCAAAAATGAAGACATCATTTGGAAGCCATTTTGGAAAACTAGGCAATATGTGAACAAAGTTCACCGATAAGAAATGATATAAAATTCAAAAGAGGCCCACAGAGTATTGAAAATGAAAACCGATTTATAACCTCACTCCCTTCCCAACACGTGTACAATTTGACAGTTGGGCTGATACTTCATTTTGGCAAGAATGCAATTGCACTACCTGGTGTGCCACCGGCTTCTCACTGTATAGCATGTCTTGTCATGTCAATGACCTTGTCATGTCATTGCACAAGGAGCAACCTCTTTTTTTTTTTTTTTTTTTTTTGAGCTGTAGTCCCACTCCGTTGCCCAGGCTGGAGTGCAGTGGCTCGCTCACAGCCTCCCCAGTGTCTAACTGCTGGGCTCAGTGATCCTTCTGCCTCAGCCTTCCAGGTAGCCAAAACTATAGGTGCACCCAGATAATTTTTGACTGATTATAGAGACGAGGTCTCGCCAAGTTGCCTGGGCTAGTCTCAAACTCGTGGGCTCAGGCAATCCACTCGCCTCGGCCTCCCTTAGTGCTGAGAAAACAGGCTGAGCCACTGAGCCTGGCCAACCCCTCCTCCTTTTTACCAGTCCTCAGACTGTGCTGAGCTTCTGAGAGCAGCTTGAGGAGCTTGAGGAACAGGGAGCATGGGGATAAGGTGGGGTGAGGTAGTCTGATCATCTGTATGAGAGGGGCAGGGACTTGAAGGAGGTGGTCAGTACCTCAGTTCCTGAAAATGAGCTTTCCAAAAACTTCCCACTAACCATCTAAGTGATTGCTTCTTGTTTGGATTAAACGGTTTCCAGTATTTGATTCTTGGAGGACAGCCTCTGAGCACTGGGAAGTGGCTCAAAATGTAGGTTAGTGTCTCACAAGGAGAAAGGTGCCAGTGGTGGCAAGGAAGGGCTAAGGGATGCTGGATTTGCTCAGGGAATTTGAACCTGATCCAGATCGAGGGATGGGTTCACAGGTGAATGCCTGCCAGACAACAGCAGTTCTTATTGCGCTGCACCTCCTGAGTGGCTGCGGGAGACTGGGCCTTTGGCATTTTCTGAAATCCTAGAGAACAGCTCTCACATCTTCCTTGCTCATCTTCTTGTTCCAGGATTGATACTGCCAAGTGGAGACATTAACTGGAACTGCCCATGCCTTGGGGGAATGGCCAGCGGCCCCTGTGGGCCCCAATTCAAGTCTGCCTTTTCCTGCTTCTACTACAGCACAGAGGATGTCAAGGGGTCAGACTGTGTAGACCAGTTTCGGGCCATGCAGGAATGCATGCAGAAATACCCCGACCTCTATCCCCAAGATGATGAGGGGGAGGAAGAAGAGAAGAAGCCAGTAGAACGTATAGAAGAAACGGCCCCCACTGAGTCTGCTACAACCAAAGAAGAGAAGGGGTCAAGTTAATGAAGGCCACCATGCACTGGGCTCCAGTCCTTCTACTCAGAGTGAAGTGGACCTCTGCAAAATGCCTTTCAGTTACCCTCCAAGAAAGTGTCTTTCCCTCTGTTGTCCTATGCACTGTAATGTACAAAATAACTTATTTTGATGATCAGGGGTCTTGGCCTCTTGACATGTACACTGAAGAAGCTGGGGGTGGTATGTGTGTGTTTCCTACATAAACCTGTCAGCAGATGTCGCTGCTACTTTTGAATTCTCTTTTCTCAGATTACCCTGAATTTCACCACTTTGAAATAATGGGCTGAGCAGTCCCAGCGACCAAAAATCATTACCCAGGAATGTTGCTTGTAAGTGAGCTGATTTATTCTGATTCGTTATATCCCTTTCAGTAGATTAAAAAAAAAAAAATTACCCTTTTAGTAGATTGTATACCCCTTTGGGAAATGAAATAGAAACAAAAACATCTGCTTTTTAAAAATGCTGGACTGGGGCCATTTTTACTAGAAGAGGTCAGATACATATTCCTCAAAATTCACTTTGACCTTGAGTATACGAGGAGGTACAGTACTTCATTCCTGATACATTTTGACTTCTGTGTTGGTGTTGAGCTCCAGGTTTTGTGTTTGGACAGGAGATTTGGACCCTCCCATCCAAATCCCCTTCTAAGTGAAGGGAAAGGCTGGTTTTTGCTGTTTCTTGCTATTCTGAAACCCCTGGCCCATCTTTACAGTGGCTCTAGTCTAGCCAGGTGCAACGTTCTTGAGAGGTGGGGACCTGATAGTCACCAGAATAGCAGCCAAGAGAGGAAACAGTGTGAATTAAGTACTCAATTAAAAGGAAACATGATTTTTACCTGATTTTGAACGTGTCCTTTATTTTCACTAGGTAACAATATTTTTGGTTTCAAGAAGTATAAATTATGAAAAATTCAGTTGACATTCTTTTTAAGAAATGCTGGTAAACCAATTTGAGTCTGTTAAAATGTTCTGTGTTGCGTTCAAAGCTTTTTTTTGTATGTGAGCAGATGCCTTCATTTAATCCATGAGATGGGGAAGATGCTTCCCATTTGATGGTAAAGAGTAACTGGCCAGGGTCACTGCTGACAGTTTTTAGGCTGTGGTATAGTAATGCTTCATTTATTCCAAGTGTATCATTTATTACTATGTGAAAAATTTCCTTAAAACTTAGCAGCTTGAAGCAAGGAATCTGGGCATGGCTTACCTGGGTTCTCTGGCTCAGTGTTTCATGAGACGATGATCCTTGCTTGACAGGCCTTTAAAAATCGCTTGAGTGGTTTATGGTAGGATTCAGTGGGTTGCATCTGGTGGATTGTTGGATTGAAGGCTTCAGTTTCTCACTAGCTATTGGCCAGACACTTCCCTCAGTTTCTCGTCATGTGGGCCTTGCCTTAGGTCAGTTTATAACGTGGCAGATGGCTTCCATCAGAGTGAGAGGAGATGGAAGCAGAGCCTTTTTGTAACCTAACTTTACCCTGTTCTGCTTGTTAGAGGTAAGTCACAACCCACACTCAAGGGGAGAAACACAAGGGCATGAATACTAGGAGGCTGCCACCATACTTAAGCTTGAAAGCTCAGTTAAAATGAGAGGAGTTGTGGTTCAAAGGTCTGAGGGAGGTAGAGAACTGTAGTACCTACATCCAGAGCTTTTAGAAACTTTTCTTGGAGCCAAGAATCTGGAGTTGGCCAAGTTTGGGAGATATGACAGCCCTGTGGAGAACCCTGTGACTTCTTTTAAGATACCTTTGCACATTTTAAAAGCACACTTCTTGTTTAGTTAAAATTGTGGTCACAACCAAACTTACCAACTCATTTGATACAGTCAGGAGACCCCTACAATCCAAGCCCTCAGGACATAGTGATTCAATCTTGGTACCTACCCTTGAAGCTCCGGTCTACTCAGGAAGTCAACATTTACTGCAAAGCAGAAAGGAATGGATGGGTATTACATAATGGTGTTTGGTTCTCCGGTCAGGTAATTTTCTTCAGTCATGGTAACTTATAGCAGAGATTCTTTAACTCTTTGCCCTAGTTGACTTGGGTTAGACAAAAGGTTTCATCCTTTTCTACTCTTAAGTAGAAAAATAAATTAGTGATAAGAAAATGGTGCTGCATAAGCAATTGGGAGTGGGTGGAGATTATGCTTTAGTACAAGGGGTTTGGGTAATTCATTTTTTTTTTTTTTTTTT